GTTAAAAACCCTAAGGGTTTGGTTGCTGCCTTAGTCTACAGAAATGCTCCGTAAATCATTCAGTCTTATGGGGTAGAGGTAAGAAAAAGAAGTTGTTTCTGACTGAATGAATCAATAGTTATGACATTCCAAATGAGAATTAAATTGCGCTGACTTGGAAAGGATCCTGGTGATCCAGTAAAGAGCCTCAGGAGTTCATGTTGTAGTCGAAGCTTATTAACTTGAGTTAATTTTTATTTGTTGTTTTTCTGACATTTCTCACCTTTTCATCCCACCCTTTGATTAGCCTGTCAACGACAGGTAAAGGCTTCGATTGGATTCCCAAGAAGTCTGATTTAGATCAGCTTGAAATAAATGCCAGAGAATGTCTTCATAAAAGCACAGGGTGAATTAAGGTGTGCCGACAGACACACACACACACAAACCTCCTCTATATTGAGGTTAGACAGCTTTTGAAGACACCCTTTCACCAGTCACCTAGAATGTGACCAACACCTCTTTCCCCTTCGTTGTAAACACTGCATTTCGATCCGTCACTCACTCCACACACACACACACTCACAGACCAATTCAGCCCCTTCGCATTTTCTTCATCTCAGCCCGCATTCTTTGATCTTCAGTGTACAGGTTTGTTCAGAAGTCCTGTTTCTGCCTCTGCCTCTTTTGATCGTCCAGTCATCTCCCTTTTGTTTATTGACCTGAGAGCGAGATCAAAAGGTTGTCCTGAGCCACCACCAGAATGTTAACACCCCAACCGATCCCACCAACACTATGATATCAAACTGAGATTCGTTCATGTTTAGCGAGACAGTGGGATGGCATTTTTAGATATTTCAAACTCCCTCTTTGAGATGAACAGACACCGCAATAACCTCATTTATGGTAGACGCCGATTAATATGTCGTCTCGGGCTCTTTCTCTGGTGCAGCTAATACAGTTAGACATCCTTACATTCCAACCTTGAGCCTTTTGTGTGTGTGTTTGTGTGTGTATAGTCAGATGGAGATTTAATAGGTTTATTGAGCCAGGTGTTGTATGTGATATGCAGGATCATGAGACTTTGCTATTTAGTGTGTTAGCTTAGACATGTTTCTCAGGATTAATAAAAATACATTTAAAAATACTAAAGACTCATGTTTATGTTGTTGCATCTCTCCACTGTTGATGTCTGCTTAAATGAATATCTGTGTTTGTTTGTGTGTGTGTGTGTGTGTGTGTGTGTGTGTACAGGAGATGACAAGGCCACAAGAAAAGGCCAAGTCCTGACCCTGCTGGCAGAGCAAGCGCTCCAGTGTCTGGACTTCAAGGCCTCTTACATCCACTGTCAAGACCTCATGGCAGCAGGTATGTAGTTGACCGTGAACCGTGCCTGTAGAAAACCTAATTTGAAGCTATCTTCTGCCTGTCTGCCTTTTCGCCTCATTTGGTTCAATTATAACATTACATGAGGGCAAAGCGTCCCCAAAACTCAGCCAATCTCGTTTGAATCTGAAGACCTATCCTGATGACATAGCTCACCTCAGAGTCCACCTGACAATCGTACTTGAAATGAATCCACCGATTTTCAATCCGCATGTACTTATCAGCCTTAGATATGATGTAACACAGCCTGTTGGTTTCCTTTACCTCGTTTACCAGCTAGTGTACATAGTTGCTGGTGTAAGGTAGCATCCATGTGCAAAAATGATTGGCTGAAGACTGTTTGTTATGATAAAATATTTACTCACAAGACAGGTGAGTCTAAACTTGATATTATACTTCAAACTAGAGAATGCAATTCCCACGTAATACACATATATACATACAGTACAAGGGCTGAAATCTTCCTGAAAATCTGAACTAGGATTTTGTAAAAGTAAGAAAATGTGAAAAAGCTGAATTAATGTGAGAAAGTCCTATTTGTCGTGAACCTTTTGAAGTTTGAATGCAGTTTTTGTGTGACTGTATGAATGCATGGGAAGAGGTTGAAAATGAGTGGGTTTGAAGGGTTTTCCACTGTAATTATAATTCAAAAAAAGTTAGAATAATTTACATTATGTATGGATGAGGAAAATCGTAGAATACTTCAGAAATTATGAAAGGTATCAAAACTTTGAAAAGAAGCTGATTTTTTTTACCAATAATAAGGGGTATAGTTTATATAGTTAAAGTGGTGATTGGACTGTTTTGAAACATACTGCCATCAAATTCAAGTGCTCTAAAATATAAGGTCAAGTCTAGCCGAGTCTGTTCCCAGAAGTCGACAAGCAAGTTGTTTCAGTAACTGATACAAATGATGCTCAAAAATAGACAAAAAGGTTGCTAGAAAATAAAATAAATATGAAGTATTGCCTGTAACTTTTAATTGCAACCAGCAAAACACACAGAATGAAAAATGTACTCAAACAGTATAAGACACATTCTTTCAGCTCTAACTAAGGTCTTCTTCAACCACAGATGTGTCTTTTCACATGTTCTATAATTGTCACTTACTCTGTGCTTCATTTTGGTTTTTCTTAAGTTGATTCCAGCAATGGTTTGTTTCATTGTTTCAAACACTTGTGAATTACTCTGGGCTTCTTCCATCCTTCCTCGGATGGCCAAAATCAGGGTCTGACTGACTGTTCATGCACTGGAACAATAATATGAAGAACAATACCACAATAATATTACAATCTAGACAGCCTCCCTGGAGGGATTAAAAGTGGTCACTATGATAATGATATCTTGTCTGACCCTGTTTAGAATTTCACAGAATCTCCCCACAGCGCAGAGTAACGAGAGACAGTGTGGATGAGAAAAATGTGTCGGGGGAGAGAGAGAGAGAGAGAAGGTGTAATCAGATAAGCGCCGGTGTTTTTCTGTCTGTGAACGCAGTGGGAATAATTGAATCTGTTTGTAAGAATGAAGGCCGGATGGCGTGTTGGTTTTTGACTGTGATGAAGCGGGAACAAATGTAGCAGAGCTATTACAGTGATATTTTCTTCAAGGGAAAACATGCTTTATACTTGAATATGTATTAATATCCCAAGGGCTTGGAAGGTTACACTTTATTGTATCATCAATATCTCAGCCTTATATCCTCTGCATTTTTTGTTCTGCAAATTATTAGATTTAAGGCAGTATGTGTGTGTGGTCTTGTGTGTGTCTTTCTGTATTGCTGGGCCTTGGTCTTCTATGAGATAGGATTCAGGGTAGATTGGCAGAGGAAGGACACTGATGGAATGAAAACTACTTCAGCTCAGCTATATTGTGTGTTATGCTCCTGTGTGAAGAGAGATAATTGGTGTTTATTTGACTTTAGATTTTGTATCATCTAAATGTTTTTATTGATTCTTTTATTGCAGTCGCTATTATCTCCTGCACCCATTTTTGGTGTAATTTAAAACCACATCATTTTTTTCCCCTCCTTTCCTCTCGTACCCTGCTTTACCTTACCTCCCCTCCTTGTTGGCCTCCATCTCCATCTTTCTCCAGGTTACAGTCCAGCATGGGATGTGTGCAGTCTGCTCGGTCAGTGTGAGGGCTTTGGAGACTTGGAGGCCCGGCAGGAGCTTTTAGCCTTCTCTCTCACCCACTGTCCCCCTGACAATATCCACGGCCTCCTCGCTGCCTCCAGTGACCTGCAGACTCAGGTCTGACTACGATTTGACCAATATGGATTTTTACAGTCAGCAGCATAACATATTTGTGTTTGGCTCCAGTGCATATTCTTCTTGTGCCGCCCTCCTACCTTTTCGCTCAGCAAAGTCATCAACAACCCTTCCCTGTTGAGGGTATAGCCAATCCACTGAGTCTTTCTTGTCCCATACTGCCCACCCACAGACATTAGGCAATTGTCTCTGTCCACTGTGAGCCATTATAATGCTGGCTGAGCATTGTATCGGCTGCACCGTCGGTACTTGCACCACTGCTTACAGTATATTATTTTGTATCAATAATCAGTATCTTGAGAGAGGTAGTTAACTAGTAAAGGAAAGAATTTGACAAAACAGGCAGACCAGTGGACAAATAAGAAGAACTTTTTTTAATAAGAAACTAGACAAGAACTTTTTATATTGGCAATTAAAGAATTCTACACACCATCAGTTTAAGAAAAAAGCTTGTATCAGCTTTAATCAGAAAAGTAATATATTAATCTAAGACCATCCCTGTGTTTCTTGTTCACTTTAGAATTGAGGTTGAGATGCAAGATAAATCTGATGGGTCACAAGGTGATAAACGAGTTATGAAAGAAGAAGAAAAAGCATTTATTAAGTTTATTTCTCTAAGAAAATGAATATTTGTTGTTGTTTATTTGCTTCAGGCCTCTAAAACATATTCAAATGAGAAGGGATCAACACTTTTTGAATGAAGGATGACCTTTGTGCTTTCTCTCCTTAACTACTAATTTCCAAAGTGAAGAACTGGCCAACATGAAATTGTCTGAAAAAATAACTTCCTTTCACCATTGTTCTTTTTGCCTATTAATTAAACCAATTAGAGCCTAATCTTTTCCTTTCATATCTTCCTTCCTTTTTCTGTCCTTCAGGTGTTGTACCAGGCAGTTAACTATCAAATGGAGCCTGTTATTACTGAGAGTGGACAGGAGGCCGATGAGACAGACTCTGTAAAGGTTTGTGTGTTAAATGTTCATGTGTATGTTTTTTACCTTTATCTTAATATGCTTGCCGTACCTCTGCTCTTTGCCTGAGTTGTCTCGACATTATTCCTGTGTGGGTGTGTCCCTGCCCTTTTGTTTGGTTTGTGTGTTTTCCTATTGCTCCATATTTGATGAGGTGTAAATCTAGTGTTAAGGTTGCTCAGCTCCCTTGGTTTATTTATGCCTCCCCTTCTCCTCCCCTTCAGCAACGCCAGCTTTATGATGCCTTGAGTGGGTGTTAATGTTTCATGACTTCCATTGCATCCCCTCTGTGTGTGGATGGGTACTCATTTGAAGCTGTCTGTTGTCATTTTATTGTTGTATTGATGTTCCTACTCCTCAACCGTATATATTTAAGCCCTAGATGAGTGTATGTGTGTGTGTGCACTCTGGAGGAGCATTTAGTTGTCGTGTGTTTTTTACAAACATCTTGAGTGTATGTGTATGGGTTCCTTTCATTTCCTGAACCTCAAACCCCTGCCAAATAAAGTATTGATGAAAGGCACTAAACGATTTGGCCCCGGCCCACTGGCCCTCTAAATTTGGTATTGAAATCCTATTCAGTTGTGCAGTAACCAACGTGTTTGTCCAAAAATGCAGCAAACAGTACGATGCACCATTCATTTGTTAATTTTTGTTAAATGTACAGATGATGAAACGTTCTATTTGTGAAAGAGGTGTCTTTATTGGTCCTTGAGTTCTCATTGTTCATCAGAATCGTTGTACAATGTAGCCTTAAAAAAAAGAGGTTTTGCTTTAATGCTGATTCGATAATATCCTGCTTTGCTGCTTGCTTTTAAGGAACAGTTCGACATTTTGATTTGATTCGCTCTGGTGCATAGTTAGATAAGGAAATAGAAACCACTCTCATGTCTGTCTGTTAAATATGAAGCTACAGACAGCAGCTGGTAACAAAATCCACTTAAAGCACGTCTATGGCTCACTTATTAACACATTATGTTTATGTTTTTTGTTATACAAAAGTAACAAAACTGTAAAAACAAAAAACAAATCTCCTTTTCAGGAAGTTACTGCTCAAAGCCTAGAAACAGTCCACCACGTCACACCCTGTGGAACAGTAAATTGATATTTTTGGTTTTAGTCACCTTTATAAAAAATAAAAGGTAGGTGGTAGTTGGATTTAGTTACCTTTTAATAGAGTCAGGCGAACTGTTTCCCCTTGCTTGAGGTCTTTGTGCCAAGCTAACTGGCTCCTGGCTGTAGCCTTATATTGGTCAGATATACAGTATGACTGTTATCGATCTCATTTAACTCTGTGACAGAGAGCAAGCGCATTTCCTATAATGTCATATTTTTGCTTTAAGTAACAAGCAATTGTGTTTTGAAGGTCTTTGGGTCAATGAATTGATCACAGTTGTGTAATCCTAGTCCTTACTGATTAAATAAAATCACAGAGCAGCTTCTTCTTGTAACAAATCTGCCCCACGTCGCCTTGGTACTACAGAACCTAGTGTGAGTAGTACTCAGTGTGCCAGTGTCATGCAGTTCTGGGAGGGCTCTGTGCTGTCTGAACAGTGCATATTTTAATTCCCTTATGCAGTACACAGACAAACAAACACAAAGAGCCCTGCACTTATTGAAGTGCTCCTTTTAAGTACCTAATAAAAAACACAGCACAACCAAGCCTAATACCACATGGATACTCAAGAGTCCTCAACTCAAAATCTGTCCGGTCTAATATAACAATACAGATGTAGTGATCAGAGGACTCTTCTAATGCTGCTTTTTAGTTTTGCAAAAAGAAGAAATGAATTGAAGTAGAGACTCTGAGACTTGGAGTGGAGGATACTGCTGCGAACTGACACTAGAATAATAAAATAAAATAATAAAATTTTTGTCCATGCTGTCACCTGCTTGGCTCCAGGCGGACACTCCCTCTGTGGGGTCAGCGGGGGACCTGCTGCACAGGACTACAGCAAAGACCATGGCAGTGCTGACCACTACAGGACTGACCACCAAGGCTGTGCTGACCGCAGTCAGCGACCACCGCTGGTGGAAGGAATCACTCAACTACCTCCGGCCGCTGCAAGTGAGAACACTCTGACTGTTTTGTTGGTCTGCAGTAAAAGCTGACGACAGTTTTCTATGTCGGGGGCAATAAAGTATCTAATTAATTAACTAACTAACTAACTAACTTGTGGGTCTAAATGTTTGAATGTTTGTTGTTTTTACGCCTTGTATTGACATATGAGTGTTTATGGATGCATAAACAGTAGTGTGCTTGTAAAAAGGACGATCAAGCAAACAAATAACAAAGCAATGACTGCAGACGTATTCGCTTTATGCTTGTTTTTAGCTCTCATTGCTTCCTGAGCTGCACATCATGTGTGTGTTTGAGTGAGTGTGTGTGTGTGCGTGTGAAAAGACATGTCTGCCCCTCTCCCATATCTCAAACACTCCTGCTCGCACACTTCATAGTCCTCATCCAAAAACAACCAATCAAGAGCTCATCTCTTGCATAATTAATTGGCCCGCCTGTTGAATATTTCAATATCTGGCGGCGTGCCGGCGGCTGGACTGGCTCGGTGGTCGCCGGGGCGGAGATTGATGGCGTCTCCGGTCTCTGCAGCGATTTTGGGGTGGTGGTTCGTGGTCGCAAAGTTTCTGAGGAGAGAGAAAAACGCAGTAGATGTGAGCTATGGGATAGAGAGAGATGTCAGTGCTGTGGGCATGTTGTGAAAGTTTAATGATGTTTTGATGGCTCCTCAGGGTCACGGCGCAGGAGCCACTAGTCAGGAAGGGGCGTGTGAGAACTCCAACCTGGAGCGTCAGAGCTGTAGCCCCTTTTATCAGGAAATCATTGATGATCCCTATGTAGACCTGGTGAGTAGCTTAAGACCCATGTGTCTCATGGCTCATTATCTTTTTCTTTCTTTTCCATTCCTGTTGTCCCTATTTTTTTGTTTACCTCAGGCCCCCTTCTTAAATTACCTCAAAAATGCCTGAGTAGGTCCATGACTTAAGGCATTTAATTAGATTTTTTTTCTCATATGACTTATAAATTCCTTCAAAAACAGTGTTGAGACAAAATGAATATTGATTTCAGACTAAGTAGTTTTAATGCCAAAAGCAATTTGGAAGTTCTAACGGTACAGGAAAGGAAGGATAAAGTGTGAATCATACTATAAATGCAGCAAACAACGGTGGAGATGTGGTAAAAAATCTAACACTTACAGAAGATGCACTGTATGTATTAAATGGAGGGGGAGAGGTGAATCCAAAAGAAAAGTATATCGACAGAAGGAGTTATGGAAGTAGAAAAGAACAAAAGTAAGAAAAGGAGTAGTTTGACCTTTATGCCTAGAAAATGGTCGCCCCAGGCTATGACTGGGCTTTTTACTCAGAGACACAAATCATGTGGATAGCTAAAAGAGTGGACGCGAGGGGAAACAGAGAGGGCCGATACATCTCTTCTCATGACATTTTAATAGGCCTCTCCAAATCCCTTCCTCTGCCCCATCTCCAGCGTTCATCCATCTTCCATCATCCATCTACCAATAATGGCTCCCCGCGTCCATCTGTCTATGAGCCGGCTGATCAATGGGATTGGTTTTTACCTTAACAGTTTCAATGAAGGAAGTAGGGAGGCAAGGAGAGGCTGATTGAGAGAGAAAGAGAGACAAATGCAACAAGACAGAAAGATGGATAGAGCGAGAGTGGCGAAGACAGACAGGAAACACTGTGTGCTGAAGCGGTAGCTCTGAGGCCGACGAGAGCACAAATGTCATTGTTCACCTCTCAGACACTTGAGAAATAACTTGGCGTACAAGAATCCTATAAATGAATTATCAAACAGCCCCGTGTTAAAAGGCTTTATTTGGCTCTGAAGTTCATTTGTTTACTCCATCCCTCATCCGTCTGACTCCCTGGGAATTAGGGCACTCTGTCACCTTAATCACATCTCCCTGTGTCCTTTTCTGATCTGCTCTCCCTACTATTGGGATTCCCTCAGTGCAGTGAATAAGCATTAGGTATTTATTTATCACTCTCTTCTCCACTCTTTCTTTTAGAGTCAAGATGTGTATTCGTCCTACAAGGACGTGCCTCAAGAAAACTTTGCTGAGGTTTTGCTGAGGACTGGCAAATTGGCTGAGGCTAAAACTGAAGGACAAACCCTGTTTCCTGCTACAGAGGGTAAGCAGACATGGGGATAATTGCATATTACATATGTATGTGTATTGTATGTACATATTACATACATTTATGTGATGCAAACTAATTTTAGAATTGGGAATTTCTGCCAGATCGGCAGCTTGAGCTGTTCCGCAGTCTGATTTCACACATGGCTGCTCTAAGAAAATCTCTTATATACTGTCACAAGCCTGTTTTTAAATGCTATTGGAGTAGTCGTGTTTTACATGTTGTTGCTAATGTTGTCTTGACTGAGACTCTGCTGTGATAGAAATAAAACTGAACTTTGCCGCAGAACAGACAGACCATATTGTCTGCATCTTCCAGCCATCTGCGGCTCCATACTGTCTTTTTTTTTTTTTTGTTAGTCATGCTTTCTCTGTTCGTATTGCACAAAGTAAGGCTCTCTTTACTGTCATATTCTTTGATGACGCAGACATCGGGATTCCTGTGTTTTAGCGATTTCATTGAGTTAATTGATCCGTACTGTATTTTGGATGTGTCTGAAGTTGAAATATTCTGTGACTCCACACTGAATTGGCAGCCTCCACTTCAGTGAGCTTTGCCTGAAAGTTCCTCGAAGTGCTTTTCTTCTTAGTCCTTTGCTCTGCCCTCTCCTCTCCTCATCTGTCTAGCCAGGTATGTGGTGGACTCGGGGACAACATGGGAAGAATACCCTCACATTGATTAATTAATGTATACCCACGCATCCCACGGCAACAGTAAATAATGACGCGTCACCACGGTGATACTAGAGATAGCACCAAGTCAAAACATCAAGGCCACGCTGTGTGATGGATCGCAGCTGCTCGCCAAAATCAATGCCACTACAAAAATAAAGAGCAAACGTATGTGTGTGTCCGTGCGTGTGTGTGTTTGAATACTAATAGGTGGACACTGAAGAAAGCGAGGCACACACTTTGACCATGACGTGCTTAAGCACAGATGTGCTCACACACACATCTCACACTCACACATTCCACCAAATCCAATCTCTCCCTGCTGCCGTCATTCAAATGAATATCTCTCTTCTTAAAAGTCACCTTCCCGTCGGAGCTTCCGCGGAGTGCGACGTGTGGAGAAAGAGAAAAGCCGGTCTGGACGGCTTCGGGTCCGATAACAAACTTCGATTAATGACTCCCGTATCATCCCCGCAACGCCAGGCTGTCCTTAAAAACAGACTACGAGATGGCCTTTAAGAAAATAAATATATAGATTTTTCACCTGGCCCAGATAAGATGGAGGTAATTAATGATGACACAAGTGGAAAGTGACTCAATGGGATTGAGCTGAGTAAGGTGGTGTAAGGAGAAACGGAGGGAGATATACACGCACACACACACACACACACACACATAGCATGGAGTGCTGCCATTGGCCGCATGTTCGACCAGGCCATAATCAGTTGTTTTTCACACTGCCTGCACAGGTGAAATAGTAATAAGTCACTGTCTCACCATCCCGCTAACAATTTGCCTGATTTAGCTGACACAAGGAGCAGGAGTGTGTGTATGTATGTGTGTGTGAACGCACGCACGCACGCCGCACCACACAAAACACAAACACACACACACCACACACACACACACACACACACAACACACACACACACACACACACACAGAAAACGCACTCTTCTTCGCTGCATCTCTTTATCACTCTCCCTGTTTTCCCCTCTCTCTCTCGCTCTCTCACATAAGCAGAAATACTGTATGCTTTTAAGTCAGGGTTATCTATTCTGTGTGTGCGTGTGTGTGTGTTTACCCCTCTGGTAATTCCTGTCCCGATGGTATCAGTAGCTTTAGAGAGGCGTGTAATCAGCTCATTCTGAGGTGTAGCTCATTGAAACCCGGGGGGTAGGTGAGGAGGGGAGAGGAAAACGAGAAAAGGAGGAGGGTGGGCTTAAGAGAGCTGTTATGGCTCTTTTAAACTGGTGCATCACTCCACCCCTACTCACACACGCACACGCCTGTGTCAGGTATTGGCCTGTGTGTGTGCGCATATGCATATTAGTGTGCATTTTGTTCTACAGTATAATTCTCTCTCCCTGTGCCCCCCTGCTTCTGTCTCTCTGCCAGTGTCCATGCTCTACTTTTCTCTGTCTGTTCCATTTTGTCACAGGCTCTTATCACCGACACAGGCTTTTGTTCTCCTTGGGTCTGAGACTACAAAGTGATTCTGTCTGCCTCTGCTCCTCTCTGCTGAGAGTGATTAACTAAGGGAATCTGTGTGTTTACAGTGTTTGGTGTTCATCTGGTAAATAGAAGTAGTTCTAATTATAATGGTGAGTGAGTGTGATTGTATACCGCTGTGTTTGCCTATTGTGGCCTCGAGGCCAACAGTTTGAAAAAGAGTCCATTCCAGTGCCCAAAACTCTGTCTAGACTCTATATCCCATCAGCCTCAGGGAGACTGAAAACATGGTCTGTGTCCCAGTTACATATTACATACTTATTCTAAGCAGTTTCTAAGAGTGTATTAGACTGAAAAAAGAAAAACAGAAAAAATGTCTAAATCAAGTAATGCATACTAAAATATTCTGAGTCTGTTGATGCGCACTCTTGTCCCACAATGCAATCCTCAAAGGAAACGGAAGAGCAGTTCACAGCTGCAGATCATTAAAACTAACTGCATATGTGGGTGACGCAGCTTGAGGAAATGTTTGGATGGTTGTAAAAACAGTTTTTGTACTCTTTGTGTGGCTCATTGCTGTATTCATGCAATGTTGGCAGCGTGGAAAAAAACAGGAAAACCTCTGGTTATTCCGACTAGTCACAATTTAAATGGCTTGGATTAGCGGTTCATTAACAGTTAAGTCAATGGACCTCATTTTTACATTTTAAATACTTAATCGAATGTTGCCAAAGCCATTTTGCCACCAGTTTGTTGCCATGTTTTTATTTCCTTTCACCAACTGGGACCTATCTACAAGATGGATCTGTCACTGTCATTTTTTTTTGTACCAATTATTTACTCAATTAATCAATTCATGCTTGATTTTACAAATTGTGAGAAATCCCAGAACCCAATGTGATGTCTTCAGGCCTTGTTTTGTCCGACCAATAAATCAAAGCCTAAACAGATTCAGTTTAGATTGATTGTCAAACTGCTATATCCAAGGTCATGAATAAACTGTCATGCTTAAGCAATATGTAGATATATAGTATATGTTATACAGTTAGGATGTATTGTGGAATTGAGACACAGCAAAAGGTTGCCCAGTCACAAACTGCTTGGTCACAGTTGACATGACCTGCTCAGCCAGATCTGTGGTTCAAACGGACAAGTCGAAACCAGCTAAACACAGATCATTTGGGATTCTTCTAATCATGCTCCTTTACCTGTCTTTGCCGTCAATATGCATAGGCTAATTTGGCATTCAGGGGATTCAACTTTGAAGTGCACTTAGATGAAGTTTGGACTCGTCTGGAGAGCACTTAATAGAAGTGGGCATGTACTTACTCTTTGAATAATAAATACTCTGTGCAGGAAAACCAATACACGCACACGTATGCACATGCACACACAACCAGCCAACCGACGTTTGTACATACATGGAAACACGCACACAGACAGGCGCACAATAGCCCAAAGAGAAGATGGACAGAATCCCAGAACTCAGGGGGGAGTTTTAATGACGCTTTTTGACTTTGTCTTTCCCCTTCTCTTCTCGTCTCCTCTATTTTTACTTTTCCTCTCTTTTGTCTGGCCCACAGAGAGGTGTATTCTGACAGGCACTGTCGTCTGTATTCAACAAACGTGGGATGAGGCTTGTCCAAGAGGGGAGGGTTGGTTGTTAATCCTCAGTGCTTTAGTTAAACTCTCCCCCCCCCTCTCTCTCTCTCCATCCCTCCATCCTTCTCCAGTCTTGCTGCAGCTGGCCAACGATGCATTTCCCAGGGACATGATGCTGGCTCTGTCCTACTTACTGGCCCTGCCTCAGGTACGTGGACGCACAGTAACACACACACACACACACACACAGCTTTATTTTACGCACACTTACAAACAGTCTCTGGTAATGTAAGTGTGTGTAACAATGTAAGTGTGGTTGTATTTTAGCGAGATTTCTGGCAAATGGCTGAGTGAATCCATATCTTCTATCGATCCCTTACCTTTCTAGATGAGCTATTGTGTTAGACAGTTTGCATCATCAGTGTGTCAAATAAAAGTTTCACTTAAAAGGTGCCAGAGTAATGTCGCTGAATGACATATAACAATAGCAGCTGACATTGCGATCTATTAATCACACAATTCACATAGTATCTCACATCAGTTTTATGTCTCCCAAAATTCAGTCCCACAGTTGCACATTTCTATAAACATTCCCACCTCATGATATGTGGCTCCTGTTTACCTTGTCTCAGCTGTCAGAGGAACAGTCAGTGTATTTTGATGGCTAAGAAAACGAAATCTGAGACAGAGAAACCTACTGGCGACTGCAGTAGATTGTGTTCAAGTGGAGGTAGTGAAATCCCTCATGAGTCTTAACACTTGCCGCATCTCCTGTAAAATACTTAACTGCTGGAGTGGATATTACATAGATATTTCCTGGAGAGCTTGTTAACTGCACTTGGATCAGATGTCTGATGTTACTGACAAACTGTATGGATTGACACAATGAAAGCTGTTTTTTTCCAGAAGGGTTTGGTCTATTGAATATTGAACTTGGTATTTAGATTTTTAACTGCTTATTTTTGGACATTATGAACTAACAATTACTAAGGACCATGAGAGATTATTGCAAGCATTGGAATTTTTATTTTGCTCATTGTTTTCCTCCCACCCCCAGCTTAGTTTCTTATGCATATCTTTCCATCTATCTATCCAGGTACTGGATGCCAACAGGTGTTTTGAAAAACAGTGCCACTCAGCCTTGTCACTTCAGCTGGCTGCCTACTACTACTCCCTGCAGATCTACTCTTACCTCACCCCCTGCTTCAAGAACAAGAACCACACTCTCTACCAGGTTAGCATGGAATACCAGTTATGTGTGTGGGTGGTTGAGTAAATGGAGGTATTGGGTAGTGTGCTCCATTCTTCTTGTAATTGCCAATATGAAATAGACATGAATGATGCTTAATATAAATGATACATTCTTTATATGAAATACTTTCTTTAACCCCAAAATGCTATGAATTCCTAAAACAAATACACAGATAAATTAAACACGAACAAAACAACAATAAAGGAAGACATCTAAAAAAATACCAACAGCAGGCATTTGTCACACAGATAAAAAAAAAAGTTTGAAGCTGCTTCAACAGTGGGCCCAGAAGATTGATCTGTTTTGAGCAGATGGGTTTTGAAGAAGTTTCTTGAAATCTAAGTGCAGGTTTTAGCTCTTTAGTCAGAGCATTTTACATTCAAGGAGGACCACTGCAAAGCACTGTGTCACCCATGGTTTCAGTCTGTTCCAGGGTTGCTGGAGGAACTAGGAGAGTGAGAATAGGCAGGTGGGTGTGTGTGGCTTTTGACGAGACAACAGAGTTAACAGTGGTATGACCCATGGATCATTTTAGTGTTAAAGTTTTAAAGTCAATGGTAGAGTGACCAGGAGTGATGTGTCCTTTTAGTAGGAGTCTGTGTTACAATACATGCAGCACTATTATGCAGATGTTGTAATAACATCTGCAAAGAGCATTTGCTACTATTCTCTTAAGGTAATGACAAAAATTCCTAGCTAAGGCACAATGGATGAAAAAATAAATAGTTTTAATGTGAATATCAGATTGTCAATTTGGACAATAACACTAAGAGGAGGTCAGTACTGCGGTATTATCAGCAGTAGGTTATTTAGTTAATGAATAATCTAGTGCCAATCAAAAAAAACTAGTTTTTTTGAGTTTTTAACCAATTATGCTGCAATCCCATTTTTAACGTTATTCAGAGCAGCTAGAAAAAGGCAGGAAAGAGCCATTATGTCTGGCTTTGTGGAAGTATGAATGAGTGTGTCATCGGCATAGCGCTGAAACTTAGCCCATTCTATGACTCAGCACAGACTCAAAAATGTTCACTCTGGAAATAAAGCAGCAATGAGCAACGTCAACAGGCTCTCTCTTTACCTTTATCTTATATGACATGAAAGTCTAATTTCTGTCTAGTTTGCTTCTTTTAGCTAATCTAACATATCTAATAAAATGTACATAGTATATATGTTTAACTTGATAACAGTTTTCCTTCAATTTCTGCTAAGTAGCATTAAGGTTGATATAAAATCATCTTAATCCACATTGTCTGACAGTGCAATATACTCATACATATACATGCACACATATATATATTTATCACTTTGTTTTAGCTTTTTATTGAAGCTATATGATGACTGAGAGGAAAACTCAGAAAAATCCAGGACTCCATATTTAGGATTTAGTGGCATCTAGCGGTAAAGTTAAAGGTCGCAACTAACTGATCACTGCTCGTGTCTGTATTTGGCAACCTGGGAATGAGAATGTGGTGTGATATTTGTAGGAGAAACTAAGGTGGCTGAAATTTGCAAAAAAAGCAAGAAGTCCTATCAGTTGGTTGTTCTGGGCCACTAGAAAGGAGGCCACCCGCAGTGTCTGTAGATAAAAACATCTAGGGTAACAGAAACACAACAGTTGTTATTTTCAGTAATGAAGACATACCTATTACAATTTCCGATGGAGCCTGCTAAATGTTGACCTTTAAATGGAAATATTCAACATGTCTCATTTTATACATGTTTCCTTAAAATTCATATTAGACATATTTGTTATCTGTGGAAACTGTTATCTGGGATCTCCATTAGAATTTAAAATAAACAGCATGATTTTGTCATAACTGTACCACCAGACTGGATTGGAAATGTTAAAGCCACAAATAATCATACGTCTGAGTCATCCAAATGCTATTTCTGAGTGTTATTGTTATGGAAATACAGTTAATTCACTTTTCTTGTTTCCTATGCTCAAACACTGTTTGGCTTCTTAGATGGAGACCATTGTTCGGGGCAAAGTGGGAAGACAAAGGGCTTTAAAGCCACGTAAGAGGCAAAAAATTTGAACACAATCAGCCATCATAATGTAGCAAACATTATGATGGGAAAATAACACCCAGGTTTGAAATAACTATAATTATCCTTTTACTCATCAGAATAGTAATCCACTTATTTATGCTTTAATCCAAAACCAACACTGAAACGTGTGTCTGTGCTTCTTCTTGTGAATGTCTTTGCACATGTGTCTGTGTGTTTATGTTAACATATGTGTGTAAAATGGATTTTATAGCATCCAGACATTTTGCATAATTGAGTAACTCTTTGAATTACATGAATTTTGACAATATGGAAACTGCAAATTAAATGTATTTGCATGATATGGCGGCACACTAATGTCACATATGTTATTTCCTGAAACAATCCAAGCCAGAAGTTGCCACAACGGGTCATATTACTGTATGTTCCTTTTCTTCCTGCAAAGAACAAGAGTTCAGAATATATAAGTGAAACAGTGAAGAAGATGATAGTGGTGGCAGGGTTGTCAGGGTGTGATTGGCTGAGAATAAGAGAAGAAATAGTTCTGACCTTTTCCTTGAGTGGACTGTGGCTCTCAAGGGTTTTAACCCAGGTGGAAAGGAGGGAGGTAAAATGTTGAAATAAAAGAACGGAAGAGGGAAAGAGGCCAGCAGAAGAAGTGGATAAGTGTGTCCCAGTTGACATTCAAGGTCAGGACTGTGCACAAAAACATGCTTGCACACACGCCTACCCACACAAGTTATACTCAACACTACACACATACATGCCAGTCGCCACACACTGACACACACATCCTTCCTGCATCCTAATGGTAGTAATCACTCTCAAACCTCCTGCCTCAAGTGAAGTTCAAGTCCATTAACTTAAAATATATACAGCTTTTCCTCCACTGCTCTACACTTTGGCAGTTGTACCTTCATTTTTAGCTCATTTCGTCTTTTTTTATCTGTCGTTTCCTTTGAGTTTTTTTTCTCTTTACCAGAGTGTGTGCTTGTTATCGTTGTGTTCCAGGTCCTGCCTTCACTCAGCTCTTATTGATGAGGTAGTGGCAACTTTTACTCTAACGCTGATAGAAGCAAGAGGGAAGAAAACCATTAAACCCTTCTACCTTCGTTTCTTTCTCCACACTCGCCATATTTTTTTATGTATGTGTTCTATGTGTCCCTATCTTTTCCTTCTTTTTTTGTTTAATGAATTGCTTTGTTGGAATGACAGTTCTGTTTTAATGCTTCTCCATGCTGCTTCTTTCTGTCCACATTTTGTTGCTCTTTGTCTGCTATCGTCCCTCTCTCCTTCTGCACTCTGTTTAGAGTATTCCCCCCGCAGGCCTGTCTCGCTATTGTCAAATCTCGGGCCTCTCCGTCCACAATACTATCTTGACAGTGCATACTTTATAATTTTTTCTTGTGCTTTCTTTAGCTCTCTTGCTTTCTCTTATCTTTTAAGGGCACATTGTACAGCATGTGATATTTAATTTCAGATATGTATGACGGGGTGCCCATATCATAATTTCTTGTACATGCTCGCTTTACATCGTAAATTAGGTTGGAGGGGGAGAGAAACACATACTAGGTATAGTTTTATATATGTATGTGCATGTAGCATTGTTTGCGTGCATGATTTTGTTAGTGTGTGTAACTGCAGGCTAACATGTTGGGATGTGTTGAGAGCGTTAGATCTGTTTTCATGTCCCAGCGGGTGGGGTATTTGTGTGTGTGCGTGTGTGTGTCTGTTGTGGTGTGTCAAGCTGTCTCCAAGTGTTTCCCACTCTCCACTTGAAGAGCAGTAACACTGTGTCTCAATAACTCTCACACTCTTTCAGTTCTCTTGTCACTATCACATAATTTCATACTCAAGCAATAAGACACCAAACACTCGAGCCACTGAAGTCATTCGGTTGCAAATAGGAATACAACTCTCTGAGGGTTTACTCGAGGTGTTTGATGTGTTTTTAAAGCCTCAATCAACAGCCTGTTTCCTCACTATTGTGTAGATATAAAGGTTTTGGAACTGAAGCTGCCTGCTAAGAGAACATTGAAACTTAGGGTGAAGGGAACACTTAATTGAATTAAAAAAACTTTATTTTCAGACCTGCCATCATAGAGCCATTACATAAAAAGCATATTACATGCATAGAAATCACATTAAACACATACAGTACATGCATATTTATAAATGTCACATATAATAAAAAACACTTAACGCTAAATGTGTTGTTCAAACCTTATCAAATTCATCACATTCTTATACAAGTTCTTGACATTTATGTTAATTAGCATATAACTATAAGTCTAAAACCTTCCCATAGGCAATAACATCCTCATAGCATGTTATACCGTAGGTGAGCAGTATACAGGGGCGTACAGTAAGCTTTCAACAGTCAGATCTTCACATCAGTTGAGCACATGTCAAATGTGTATAATGTTTTTTAGCTGCCTTGGAAAGGATTGTGTGTCATATTTCACTATTAACACCATTTTTTTAGTGCAATTATACTAATGCATCTCAGTTAAATTGACAACAATACATTGTAAAATGCACCATGTAACACACACACACACACAAGTTAAACTGTAATGATCCCTGTGGTGAAATTTGCCTTCTGTGTTACCCTCCTATTGTACTGTAACTATTAAGCAGCAGTGGGCAGCCACACTGCAGCCCAGGGACCAATTCAAGTTCTCAGACCGGTACTTTGGTCATTGACGTAGTAACATGAGTATCGAACATAGGTATACTTAGAATGTAAAGAAAGGAGACCTATTATCTTCTTAAAGGATAATTAGCCATTTTTACATCTTATTTTTGTATGTTTTGTCTAGCATTAGTTTTGTCAAATTGAAAGTAATACCATAATACTGACCAAGTTAATCGCTAAGATCTGCGATTGTGGCAAAATTGGTAAAAAGAGGTCAGCTGGGGCAAGAGACATGAGTCTACAGGTTTAAACAGACTCCCAGGTTAGCCAAATA